CTCAGGAAATGTCCACAGTTACTGAGGAGATCAGGAAGATAGAGAGGAAGATGGAGACTGAGACTAAATGGGCAGAAATAAGAGGAATGCTGCTGTAGTGAAGGTTTGTATGGAGAGTAATTACCTACAGGGCACATAATTTATAGTAGTATTTTATGCTAGTCACCCAGAGTCAAACACAAGAAGTGCAGGAAATCTGTCTACACACTAAAGACCTAAGTTTTGGCCGAGGGCCTGGATCCCTTGCCAATAACCTGAATGAGTTCAGCTGAAGACCTAGAGCCCAGACAAATGCCTCCTATGAGTCCAACTGGAGGCGAGAGCCCACAACAATGACTCACACAAGTCTGTCCCCTGGGCCTGCGGTGGGAAGGCCCAAAGGTCAACAGTGGAAGCTAGAAAGTCTGTGCTGGGGGGTGAAGGATTTGTGCTAGTAGGTTGAAGGTTCTACACTGGAACCAAGAAGTGATGCTTAAAATAAGGGCCAGGGCTGCCCCCAAAAGTGCCATAGCCACTCTCAGTGATGACAAGGTCCTGAGCTCCTCTGACAATGAGAACAGCAAAGTTCATATTACGAAGCTAGCAAGACAGAGCCTCTCCAGGAGAACCAACAACTCCAAACAAAACAATGCTTAGGAGAACCCGCAACACTACTCTTCCTCTCCATTTCTTTTTATGCTGGCAACAGTCCTCAGGTGGACCCTCTACACTCAGCACCACATTGATTAAGTATCACATTGCTTCTGTGAAACCTGAAGGATGACTAAGGAGCATAGTGGAGCACAGTCATTGGGAAGTAGAAGGACGTGCTCATAATGAGAAACGGGACAAGGGGGTGTGGGGAGGAGGGAGAAGGAAGGGTAAGGGAAAAGTGGCAACAAAGCTTTTGTGGGGGAAGAGGGGTTGAAGGGAGGGGAAGGGAATGGGGAAGAAAAAAAGAATTAAGATATATTATGTGGGGCTGGGGATTTAGCTCAGCGGCATAAAGCGCCTGCCTTGCAAGCAGGCAGTCGTGAGTTCGATCCCTGGTACCGATAAAAACGAAAAAGACCAAAAAAAAAAAAAAAAAAAAGATATATTATGTACAGTACAAATTCCCCATGATGAATGTTATTATGTATTAAAAATGTGTGCTAATAAAGAAATAAAGATAAAAAGGGTGTAGTGCTGCCAGGTGTGGTGGTACATGCCAGAGATCCCAGCTCTCAGGAGGTTGAGGCAGGAGGTTGAGGCTAACCTGGGCTACGTAGTGAGACTCTGTCTCAACTCTCCTCCCAGAAGAGACAAAAAAACAACAGTGCCCAGGAAATCCTGAAACCTGGAAGGAGATTTTCCTGGGGAAGGAGCTGTTTAGCAGTGTCACGAGGGTCTGGAAACCAGGAGTTGCTCTCTAGAGGGACCGTCTCTCTTGAGACCTGTGAGAGAACAAGTGGGGTGGAGGGGGCTTTGCACCGGCTTGGCTCGCCAGGCGGAAAGGGCAGAGCAGTTCTTTCCTCCGCATCCTCATCGTACTTGCTGCCTTTTGCCCTTCTTCCTCCTCCTGTTATTCCTCTTGCTCTCCTGCTTTCCTTCCTGCACCCTCCTCCTGTCCCTTTGGTTCCTCCTCTTCCTTTTTCTTCTCTCCTTCGATAGTATTTATTGCCGTTTACTTTTGGAGCTATATTTAAGGGAAAGCCAGGTATGGTAGCGCAGGATTGTAATCCATTGCTACTCTCCTATTATGTTGTTTTGAAATTTTATTTTTTTCTCTTTAAAGTAAAATTAAATTTAAAAATTCCCTCCAAGCCTGTGAAAACAGGTTTCCACCTGGGTTTCTAGCTGTCCATCTCATTTGGAAGCCTGGGGCTCTTTTCCTGAGGCCCGTTCTGGCACCGTTTCCTGATTATCTGATTGTGGCTTGCTCATCAGTATATTTATACTGTCTTTATGATAAAGCACCATAAAAAACATAACCTCCTGATCCAGAAAGGTCACTCCACACGAGGCAGAGCCTCTTCTGGTGAATTCATTACACTCTGTCCCTTGTGGACAGTATTCAGTCGGCCACAGTGTAACCAAAGTGAAGAACATGTAGGCCCACTTTTTGTGCTACCGGCCATTCTTGTGATTGCACTGCCTTTAAGTTCTGAAAATAGAAGCAGGTTGTCCTGGGTGTCTTGGGCATTGCGTTTTGCTTTGCAGCTGAGCTGTTTCTAAAGCTGTGTGGTCCCAGACACCCGCAACACTTGTTAAATTCTGACTTCAAGTCATCTGGCCGGGTGGGAGGAGCCAGTGCCTCGAATTCCAGCTCCGGAAAATACAGCATCTCCGTGTGGGCTGGCCTAGTGTTATTACTCATATCTGCTTCTGCCTCTGTGTGGGAGGACTGCAGGATTCATCCTGTTAATTGGCCTTGCTTAATGAGGATGTAAACAGTAGATTGCCTTGTCAGAAAATAGCAATACACTGATTCGTTATCTTACTACATTTTGATGCACCGTAGGGTTCTTTGGTTGGAACTCTTTTATTACCACATGGACAAATGGACCTCAGTTTCTCAGTTGGTATTAAATAGAAGTGCCTCCTTTTACAGAAAGGGTATCCTATGTAAATACAAGAGGAAATGTCCGGAGGTCACTGAGTTTGACTGAACAGTAGTTGGTTGCTGACCTTATCTTCATGGGGCTGATGGATCTTCCTTGGAGATATCAGGAGCCCATGGTGTTAAATAGGTGAGGTCCAGTGGAGCGTTCCATCATTATCTAGAGGCTCATATTTTTAAAGCCCTGTGGGAACAGCCACTTAGGAATGATCCACATGCAAAACAGTTTGCTATTAGCATCTTTATGGGGCCTCCCAATGTGTGGTTAAACCAGATTCAGAGCACAGTTCTAGTTAGCTCCTGGCTTCCCCTTTGCTTTCTGCTTTGTGCTGGGCATAGCGCGCTGCACCCACACCAAGGTTCACTGTCAGTAGGAGGAGCCCCTTATAGTTTGACCTGTCTGAATGTTGTTATTTTTTATTAGTGGATTCTAAACAAAATGAGGAAAGCTACTAAGAGGCACTCAACCAGAGAAATGCAACTCTAAGGTCAACAGAACCCAAGGAAAAGATGAAATTCCAGGCAGAGTAAGGTTGGACCATGGAGCCCAAGAGGACCAAAAGGCCAAGGTCGTGCAGGAGGGGAAGTGAGACTGCGGGCAGGTAGTTTAGGGCCCAGAGTGGCGTGGGAAGGACTTGGCTGGTCGTTCCAGTACTCTGTGGCAAACCCAGAGTGCTAGGACATCTCACACAAACAGCAAAGATTCCCCAGACTGCATCGCATGGTGGCCTTAAACAGCAGCATGGCACTGAGGAGGTGGCCAGATCACGAAGATCTCTGGGTATCGTGCAAAGGAATAACAGCACCTTTGTTCAGCACTGTGTTTAGCACCTCTGTGTGCCTGTGCCAGCTGCCATTCTGTGGTGTGTATTTGGGATATCTCAATGGAGATCACTCAAAGCAAACATGCATTATCTGGGCTCAGACCTTCTATTTCAGTGAGGAGAGAGAAACAGTAAACATTGAAGAAGTCACTAAATGAAGTGGCGTGTTAGAAGATGGGAAGTGCTGGGGGGAAAAGGGCTCCTCAAGTAGAGGGCCGAGGGTCACACCAACAGTAGCTAAGCCACGCTGTACCTGTGATGTGACACAATGAGAATGGCACTTCCTACCTGGAAGTTTTTCTCCCCACAACATACAGCTCTGGTCTAATGCAGAGGAAAGCACCAAATAAAACCCATGTGAGGGACATTCAGAAAATACCTTACTAGTATTCTTCAACCTGTTAAGAGCGTCAGAAAACAAGCAAAACCAGAAGAGGTAAAGAGGCAGGATTACTAAGTATGGTATCCTGTAGGAGCCCAGAAAAGAGACAGGAGGGAAAAATTAAGGAAATCTGAATAAATATGGCTTTAGTTAATAATACTAATGTATCAATATTGATTCTTTTACTTTCGTTTTTCTTTTTCTTGGTACCAGAAATCAAACTCACAACATCTTGCTTACCAGGCAGTCACTGTATTGCTGAGTTATATCCCTGCCCCCTTTTATTGTTATAAATGTGCCATGCTAATGTAAGATACTCGAAAGCAGAAACTTAGTGTAAAATACACTGCATTTGTAATGACTTTGAAGATCTAAAACTAACTTAAAATGAAGTTTATTGGAAAAAGAAGAGATTAAGAGTCCATGGTGGAGACCTGTGTTCTAATTTTAAATAGTGTGGTTGGGTGAGGTCACATTGAGAAAGGAGCACAAACATTCAGGTGGAACCAAAGCCCAAAGATGAGAAGGAGCAGATCTGTTTGTTTGGCACCAGAACCATGGTGCCCCTGAGACCTCCTAAGCCCTCCCAGCTGCAGCCTCAGTGTCTTCTTGTGTGAAAGGTTGGGGTTAAAAGATGATTTCAGAGGTTGCTTCCTTGTCCGACATTCTGTGATTTTATTTTTAATTTTATTTGTTTGGTTTTTGAGACAGAGTCTCACTGTGTAGTCCAGGCTGGCCTTGAGTCTGCTATGATTGCTTCAGCCTCCTAAGTGGTGGGATTACAGGTGTGTACCACCATACTTGGCTGTTCTGTGGTTTTAGACCATATGGGACCAAAGTGCTATACAAGCCAGCAGCACTGGCCATCAGTGTTTATGTCTTTTTAACCAGCCTACAAGTGCTCAAGCAGAGAACATAAAAAGTATACTCCTGGGCATTTTGATTAAAACAAGAACCATTTTGGATGTACTTACCTGCTCTCTCTAGCATGGTTTAGAGACAGAATTTGAAGCAGTGGGTAAGAAGAGGAAGTACTGTAATCTTAGATTAATTTAGTACTCTGTACCTTGGTGCCTCTTCCATAAAATGGGGTGCCGGGTGGTATGTGTGTGTGTGTGTGGGGGGGGTTCCAGGGAATCCAGAGCCTCACAAATCCTTAGGCAAGTACCCCACCACAAAGCTACATCTCCAGCTCTATTTTCTTTTGAGTCAGGGTCTACTGAGCTGCCCAGCTTGGCCTTGAGTTTACAATCTTCCTGCCTCAGCCTGCAGAGTGGCTAGGATTATGCTGTGTACCACCATGCCCAGCCTGTGACAGGTATTTACCCTTTGCTAATGTTTGAATTTTCACAAAAGAACTAAAAGTTATAAGATTTCCTATGTGTTTCTTTTTCTGAGTCTTTTGCACAGACGCAATTGAAAAAGTTTCAAGTTTTGGAATTATTAGTAAAACCTTGTTACACAATTCAAAAGACTAAAGCCTTCACTTTAGACATGGGGGGAAAATTAGCAAAACTATTTGAAGCTAATTTTATGAAGTACTAACATAATAAATATCAAAATACATAATGACAGACAAATTTAAAATTACCGCTTCACAAGGGAAGAGGCTAACCAGTTTCTGTGAACCACATACCCTTGTTATGTCTAAAATGAAGGTCTGTATATACTACTTCACACATTAAGCAGTGTTAATTGATGCTGTTAATTGAATTGTAATTGTGTAATGACCTAAGTAGTAAAAATTAGTTACCTATCAAACTTTTGAAGGTTTTGAAAAGAAAGCATGTCCATCTGTCTTTGCAGCAATGTATAACGATGCTATTAATTGTGTAGTTTTACCTAAAAGCTGGGGGGGGGGCGGGGGAGATACCTGTGATGGGGCGAAAGATTCAGCTCAGCTGCACAGCACCTACTTGGCAAGCATGAGGTCGTGAGTTCAGTCCTCAGTATCAAAAAAACAACAATAACAGAAAACAAACAAAAAAAAACCTTTTCCTAGCTGGTGTTTTTTGTTTTGTTTTTGTTTTTGGCTAAAGATACACAGGGTTATGTGACTGTTAGGCACTTGAAATATGGCTAGTATGACTAAGGAACTTTGATTTTACTAAATTGTAATTTAAATAGCCATATATGGCCAGTGTCTAATGTATTAGACTGCTAATTGTCAAGATCAACCATAATTTGGTATTTATTTCCCAGAAAGAATGAATTAGGCTCATAGAGGATTCTTTCTACCCAGGCAGAACTGTAAGGTTTAAGACTCCAGGTCTAGAGAAAAGGAAGAGATAAACTATAGCTTGCGATTCAGGCTCTTAGCTGTACCCTAGAATAGATCACTACTCTGAGGCCAGACCTGGATGTCTGGAGGAATTTGGAGCCTGGAGCTTCCCCAGAAGACTGGAAGAATTTTGGAGTCCGGAATCATCTTAAGCATGGTGTGGTCTAACCCAAGGAAGCACCAGCACAGTGTTTTAGAGCTCCTTCACTGTCTCCCCTTTACACCTGTAAGCCCAGTAGATCATCGGTGCTTTCAAGGTGTGGGAAAAGACTCAGACTATGCCTTCAGACTAAGTGGGATACAGGGCTAGCCAGAGGCCCTCATCTCTTTTCCATACTATTCTAGGTCACGTATCAGAGTTGGCCAGGGCAGTCTTTTCACAACTGCTCTCAGAGGCTGCTCTGTGTGGGTAGAAGCTGTTGACCCTCTCTCCCTTGTCAGGAGCCCTGCCCCCACTGTATAAGTGCTCGTGTGCAGGGGGAGTGGGCTGCTCCTGACAGTACCTCTTCTGTGTGTGCGTTGTCTCCCTTGTGCATACTGTTGCGGAAGAGACAAAGATGGGAGGTAACTGGGAAGATTTGTGTGCTGCAGAGCATGGCGAACCATGTTCCAATGTTGTCCTGTTTCTTTTCTTCCAGGAAATTGAGGATTGATGTGGCCTCGGTTTGACAAGAACTACCTTGCTGTTTTCACTGAAGAATAAGCTCAAAGGAACATTTGTCTTTCCATGGTTCTGTTACTAGCAAATATTTTCAGTGCCCAGGAAAACACAATCCACTGTTACATTTGACCTGCTCTAGGTAGCCCAACAAAGGTTCCTCTCCACTCTTTCCGCAGCTGTATTGCACAATCACCTGTCGTTGTTGGGTGAATGTTGGTGAAGGCCTTCCCTGCACCATCTTGAGAGGCGTAAGCCTCTTGGAACCTGTGACATGGAAGCTTTGGAAGTGGATGATATCAGCCCAGCCTTAGAGGTTACTGAGGATTTCTTTAGTACTTTTGACAGTAAGCTAGAAAAGGCTGTGCAGCATGCAGAGGTTTATAGGATTCAGGAAGTCCCTGAACTGGTGGGGCAGGAGGTACTCAGTAATATAACAGACAATAGTGCCATGAGAACCACTGCCTCCCTGGGCAAAGGGAGCATGATTTGGGAGCACTGTAAGAGCAGGCTCTTAGAAACCAATGCTCAGGATGTCTTTCCTGCCAAAGAACAGTTTGTGATCCAGAGAGGCACAACCCCAGATAATCTATCCTGGATGGAACAAAAAGAAACATCAACGTTTAATTTTTTCAATATCTGTCAGCGTCGGAGGGACAGACCTCGTTCTGTGAATGACTTACTGGATGAGACCTCTACTTTCAAGCCAGGGCATGCTCGATCAAGATCAGATGTTACCCAAGCAGACTGGCGAGTTGTTCTCAAAACCATGCCTTTGCAGCAACAGCAGCAGCCCTCTCTTCAGGGTCCTCACGTCACCAGGCCCTCGTTCCTGTTGTCCTCACCACGTAAAGTAGAAGATGCTCTAGGAAATACTGGTATGTTTTCATTTTTATCTGAACTCCTTTGAATACTTGTTAATTTTTCCCATTTATCTTTTGTCAACCTCAAGGGAACATTACTTTCCAATATCCACATCGGGCTTTATTCACTTAAACTCTGCCTTTTGTTTACTTCACTTTACCCTGCCTGAAGTCAACAGTCTCGTCTTCTCGAGATATTTAATGAAAAAGCAACCATGCTTAATTCTCTCTTGCTAATCTTGTATGTTAGAATCAGAATATTTTCACATTTATGCATTTTCCTTTGGGCATTGTGTGATATGGCTTATTCACATCAGTAGATTTATTGGAGCACACATTGGGCTTAGCTGTGTGTTATGCTGGATTTAGTGATACATGAAGACATGCGCCTGCCCTGTAGAGCTTTCTCATCTAACTGAAGGGATTGGAACCTAATGACTCGGGAAGCTTTGTGAGGGAGTTTTATTTTAGTCTATATACGAGTGAGTGGCAATGGCTATAAGAGCAGAAGACACTGTCAGGAAGGACCTGTCAGGGGATGTAGAATTTGAGCTGGACCTTGAAGGACGCAGTAGTTCAGAAGACAGAGAAGACAGGAACATGGTGTGAACCAAGGTGAGGAGAAGCAGTAGAGCATTTGCCTAGTTTGAAAGTGGAAGTGCAGCGTATTTTCACATACAATTAAAAAGTCTTCTTTTAAAAATTCTTTTTGTCCTCCATTTAAATTCGTAGCTTGTAGTTTCTAGTCTACTCTCGTAGGTGCTCACCATTTTATGTGACGTGTAATTAATGGTGGTGACCATGGGAGAGAAAGGACAAGGACATCACGGAGCAAGGACATGGTGACTGATTAGATATTAGGAGGCAGACAAGTTGCTGTGGCCCATTTCTGGCAGACTGATAAGTTTACTTTTGAACTGTTTAAGGCCATATACAAATAGGTGTACTCTTTGATTAGCAAATAACCTCTGAACTTTACTTTGTGCCTTGTTTCTTAGATTTCATAGAATTTTATCACTAAAGGCACCTGAACCATTTTAAATCCCTAGTATAATCCAAATTAGAATGTCATATTTCAGCTTTTTTTTGTATCTTGTTTAGGTTGAAAATTCAAGAACCACACTTTAATGAACTTTTCTTTTGAGTATTAGAAAAACCGTGGTCATTCTTTTGTAATTCTCAATTTAAAATAAAATTTAATACTAATTTATGTTGAAATATAAAGTGAGTAGTTTGTTTGTTTGTTTGGGGTTTTTTTGATCTTTTTGAGACAGGGTCTCTCTATGCAGTTCAGGCTGGCCTTGAGCTCACTTTGTAGCCCAGGCTGGTCTCGAACTCACAATGATCCTCCTGCCTCAGCCTCCAGAGTGCTGGGATTATAGGCATGAGCCACCATGCCTGGCTTGTGGGTTTGTTTTTTGAAACAGGCTTGCCATGTAGTCCAGGCTGGCTTCAAGCTCACTGTGGAGCCCAAGCTGGCCTCACACTTGTGGCAGTCTTTCTGCCTCAGACTCCCTGAGTGCTGGTATTACAAGCATGTACCACAATGCCCAGCTAAGGTTAAGCAATATTTGGAAAAGTAGACTGTAACCTTGTCCTCATTCACGAGTCACACATCCTAATAGGAGTTAGGAAACTTGGGTAAAGGGTGTCTCAAGATTCTGACACCTTTTCTTTTTGGTATGCTCTGATGAAGAGGCAAAAATAAGTCATATTTTTATTGCTCACCTGGTAAAGGGCAGGACAAGCAATGGCCACTGTTCTTGGGCTGGGAGTAGAGAAGAGTTACAGATTCATGGCTGATTGCTGTCTCCCAGACTTTTGAAGAGAGATGTGTATGCATCCTACTCAGAAGCAACCAAGATCTTTGAATGGAGTTTACGGCAAAACCTTCAAAGTTAGCCACCTAAACTGAAGAAAGTGTGATTGTTTCTTCCATGAAATACACCAGAAGCAGAGATGTCTTGGCTAGAGCTGGAACTGAGGCCTCAGCAGATCCGGGTCAGGACAGCCACCTGGAGGATGTCTCTGCTGGACTGTTGTAGGCACTCAGTTCAGGAAGTCCCAGGACGACCTAGGATCCGCCCTTCTACCTCTCTTACTGTTCCTGCGACCTCCTAAAAGAAATAGTATTTACAAGGGCTTGTTTTGAAGAGATTGACTAGGCTTTGTACCTAGCTCTGTCATTCTCTTCCTGTGAGCTTTATTACTGCATGGTCTTATATTTTCTTCACTTGATAATTCATTTTTAATGCCTTCTCTGAGCTCACCTTGAATAGCTTACATTTATCAAGAGTGGTTCTTCTCTTCCTTGTCTATCTTTTCATCCTTTCCTACCCTCATACCCTTTCCTGACTTCCGTGAGAAGTGCAGAAGTCTTCTTGTTAGGAGGGATCTCTGCATCCTCTGTCTCTGTTGGTGACAAATACCTGGCTCTTGAGACTTACTGAGGTAAAGACTGCTTTGAGTACAAAGCAAGACAGGTTCTGAGGTAACCAGGGCAGTGGGTAGTAGGGCATAATAGTAGCTGTTTTGCTGAGAGGCAGGCCACACGAAGGCCGCCTGGTTAACCCAGCTTGCCTATTGGTTAAAAACAGTGACTCTAAATCTAGACACCTAAAGTTTCAGACCTATACCATTACTTACTAGCTATACAACACAGAGCAAATTTAACCTCTCCGTGGCTCCATTTTTTTTAAGCCATAAAATATGGGATATTTATTGAAGTAATATTTGCTTAAATTTCTTGTGAGCCCTAAATAAACATATGTAGGAAAAGTAGAGCACGCGAAGCAATCGCGCTAGACAAAGATCATTCCCTCCATTAACGTAGTGAAATACAGGAGGAGCGCAGAGCTGTGCACGCTTCTCTAGGAAACCACTGAATCTGCAGAAGGGAGGCAGTAACTTTTACTTCCACCTTGTCAAATGTCAGCCACACAGAAAGCTAAGTGAGGATGGGGGAGAAAAAAATGAGGGCTTCACTTTGCCTCGTGTTTTGGTTGTTTTTTTTTTTTGGAAACTTGTAGCTGAGTGTGGTGGTACACACTTGCAGTCTCAGCACTGAGGGAGACTGAAGCAAGAAGATCAAACGTTCCAGTCATCTGGGGCAACTTAACAACTTAGTGAGACCCTGTCTCAAAATAAAAAATGAAAAAGGGCTGCAGATGTAGCTCAGTGTGAAGACCTTGAATTCAATGCCCAATATTGAACACCCCCCCCCCCGAAAAAAACCCCAACAAAACCCTGAAAGCACTGTAGAAGCTGCATCACCTCAGACGTGGGCAGCCCTAGGCCAAATCCTTAAGAAGCCATGTTGCCTGTGCTAGTGGCCGAGGAGTGCTGCCACCTGGTTTTAGTGGACCCATAGGTATGGCTTGAATCCAGCCTAATTAGTGCCACCTGCATTTTTTTGAGATAAATGGATAGTAATGTCAAAAGGTTAGGTCAGACAATGATGTGAAGAATAGGTCTCAGGCAAGGTGGTAGCAGAGGTCATTATTTCTAAAGAACCTCAGGGTGGTTGGTGGAGTCCAAAACGTCCTCAGGGGCTGCTCCTTTCTCACCACTGTCCCAGCCTTTGCCTTTCCTGGGAAAGCTCGGTCCCTGGGAGCTAGACCTGGGCTGATTTCCCCTCCTAGCACTAATCATCTTAGCTCTATAAAGACATTCTCTTGACTAGTATCTGTGTTTAACCTTCCTCCTCTCTAACAGTGTCAGGCTGCTGCTGTTCATTGACACCTGGGAATTCCCTGGAGGATAAAGAAGACAGAGTAGGGGCTGGGGATTTAGCTCAGCGGCATAAGGGCCTGCCTTGCAAGCAGGCAGTTGTGAGTTCAATCCCTGGTACCGATAAAAAAAACAAAAAAGACCAAAAAAAAAAAATAAATAAATAAAAAGACAGAGTCCTAATATTACAATTATAATCCAAATACCAATACATCTTAAGGAAAAAATCAAAGTCATATGGAAAAAAATCAAAGTCATATGAATATGTGGGTGTTAGATATTGTTCATATATGTATATGTGTGAGAAATAGGGTATACATGAACATGCACAGTTAGAAATAAAGATACACATGGCAGCAGAAGGTAGGACAGTATATAAATATTCAACTAGGATTCAGAAGTATCGTAGACTATTGGCATTCTGACACACACCTGTAATCCCAGCCACTTGGGAGGCTGAGGTAGGAACATTAAAAGTTTGATGCCACACTAAGCAAGTTAATGAGACCCTATCTCAAAATATAAAGAAGGGCTGGGGATGTAGCTCAGTGGCAGACTGCTTGCCTAGCACGTATGAGGCCTGGGATTTGAGTCCTGTTACTACAGGGTTGGGGGGAGGAATCTTATCCTAACTTTATTCCTAATTTACACATGGGTTTGGAAAAAAGCACTTACTGTTTGTTGTCTCTGATTTGTAAAAGCGAATTATCTCTCCTGTGTGTTGGCTCTAAAATCATACCATTCAGGGATGTATTTGAACTGACCCTGACTCATGGTTGGGTGGGAGCTAATTACTATAGTCAGATCAATAGAGAAAGGTCACGGAACCTTAGATATTGTTAAAATAATTCAAAACTGAAAGACTGCATGCCTTGTAACTCTACTTTTGTATGAACTACAGTGGCAATTTTTAAAATCAAAATTTGTAAAAGAAATCTTTTGGATTAACTATAGAATTCTGAAACTCAGTAAACTGGCAGAATCTTACTTTTCCTTGCCTTACTATGTTCGCATTTTTATCTGCTTGGCAAGGGCAGTGGTCAACCAGGCTTTTGTGTCCATCAGTTGTACTCTCTGATGACCTGGCACTGCTCCCGTGCGTGTGTCTTCTTGTTCTGAGTACCTTAGGAGGTGGTCTCAAGCCGAGATTTTCTGCAGGGTTAGAAAAACCATGACAGTATAGTTCTTTATTCTGGGCTTTATGTGGCTCTGTTTCGTTTCTTTTTTTCCCCATCTTTGACTTATAAAAAAATTGGGGGCTTATACTAAAATTTTCCATTATGATG